ACCCACTTTTCACGCATGTCAAGTGACTGCCCTCACCCCCCACCCCCTAGATTGGCTACACTCCCCCTGGCTCACGAATTCCCCGATTCTCGTGACAGTATAGTAGCGGGCAGCAGTCCCACTACATACATTTCTGTTCAAAAAATGCGGCGTGCCCACCCTACTTGTATAGCACCCAACTTTCTCCTCAAACCTCTACATTTACCCCAATTCTCTGCATTACTTGTGTTGTATGAAGTAGAGCTTTTTTGAGAAACTGTTATTTCACTTCCTCAGCGACCTTCATAAGGTATTTATCAATCACCACACATAATAAAATAATCAGTGATTAAAAGCGAATGCTATTTTTCAATAAAGGGCGCCCTTTGGCAGATCGTTTCAGAAATTCCCATCTATGAACTTTATTTCACGAGCAGGGAATGGTTTTTTAGAGCGCTATATTCACATCTTTGCCCGGGAATGAGAGCCAACAAGAGCCCTATCAAGGCACAGCTGCGCCGGAGTGATTTGCGCTTAGGTGGGGTGCAGCTATGCGTGGCAAATAGCGCCTTCCATTCCATCAGACCCGGAACAAGGTATGCGAACCGCCTTGTTCTTGAGCGTCGCGTAGGTCACCTGCTCCAGTATCCAAACAACGGTCTTTGCGCCCCCTTCAGCACAGCGCAAGGATGCCGACGGGAATGCGACGAAAACCAGCAACCAACAAAACACAGCAAATCAAACGCTCCATTTGTCATCACGGATCATTATCACATCTCTCATCTTTTCCACGTCTTTACTCCTTCGTTGAGCCTCTCACTAAGCCTCGATCGGGCATAAACGCCGATTGTCACCTCGGCGATGCTTGACACGCACTCGTGTTCTTGCATCGCTTGCGTAATATTTTGTTGTTGTTTTCGGTTGAATGACAATTGAAGCGCGACCAGCCGCGCGTGTGCTCCGAGCGGCGACGGCTGAGGGTCGCTGTCGTGTCGCTAGTGCATCAGAATTCCTCCTCCCGCCATCCCCCGCCCCTCCGGCATCGCCGTCCGTTTCTTGTCGCCGCTGTGCTGTCGTGCTGTTCACGATGAATCTGTCGACGTCCTTCGTCGTTCCAGGATCATCATTCGACTTTAGTTTTCCGCAGTCACTGAGCATCGAAGCGGCTCCAATGGAGGTTTCGGAGACGATATTCCAGCGCCTGTATTTGATCTATATGCCATGCTGTGTCCTTATCGGCTCAACTGGCAACATCATGGTGTGGATTTTGATCAAGTAGGTTACCGTTTTTTTTCTGAAATTTTCTTTCCTTTTTTGAAGTATAGATAGTTTGTGCTACTGATTGCTTTATCATTAATTTTATAAGTTTTTGCCCGCCAAGTATCACTGGGTATGTCAGTGCTCAGCTATAGATAATTTCAAAGAGCGCAGTTTTTCAAACGACGTCCATCTTCCTTTTCCTGGTTTCTTTCTGTGAAAACTAGTTCTTCCGGGAAGCTTTCGAAAAAAAGAAGCAAATGAGATTCGCCAATTGTTTTAAGTAAGGCAGTTTACATATTCGAGACTGTGTAAAGTGCTAAACCTATGTGCTGGAAAGTGCTTGTTTTTCGTGTGTGATCATATTACTTGAAGAGTATACGAATAATATTTCATAGATATATTAACGTTAATTTCTTAAGTTTCCGTTTATGTTTCTCAACAATTTTGGTGATAGTTCATATTCATGAGTGCGTGCAATTAAGAAGTCGTTCTCATGAGATTATGGCATGTGATATCAGGGCTAAGCATCACACTAGTATGCTGGTTGAGTGGTTCAATTTTCAATTTGATCGTCTCTTGATATTTGTTAAGGTGCTGCCGTAACGAGTCAGTAGGAAATTTGGTAGCTGGTGTGTTCCTAGGGCGGTTTGCATGCCAAAGCAATGCATCTAGATCAACTCTTCATGCTAAATATCGTTCTAAAATCGCTAATTTACCAGTTCTAGAAAGGGCGGCAACTCCTCTCCTTGAAACGTTTCATCTGAGAACATGGTTTGTGTGCTAGGAATTGAAGGCTCTGCGAATAAGATTGGGGTAAGTAACCCTACAAGGGTTGGTGAAACTTCAGTCTGGATTTGTTTTATTGTCGTCCTTCAGCTTTTTATCCATGCAGGTTGGCATAGTACGAGACGGGGAAGTGCTGTCCAACCCACGAGCAACTTTTCATGCACCACCTGGCGAAGGTTTTAGACCGAGCGAAACTGCTCAACACCACCGGCAACATGTATGTGATCCTTAACCTTTCTTGTAATTTAGAATTTTTTAAGTCACTATTTTTTCAATTTAGATCTTGAGAATTCTTAGCAAAGCTCTCGCCGAGGCCGATATCAAAAAAAACCCTGAGAAATTGAATGCTGATTGCATATACCAGAAGGCAGAATGGGAGCTCCATTGCAGGTCTGTTTTCTCTTTCAAGTTGTTAAAAATTCTCACTCATAGCTTTTTTCGAGAAACGAAAACACGAAAGTTAGGTGCGTGCGCTAGCTTTGCGCGTTCCTACTACGCTCTCTTCTTGGGTCCTTCGCCCTGATCCTTCAAATCACTGCATTGGCCACATTGAGATGGGTAGACTCATTACCGGTGCTGACAATCCTGTAGTTCTCTATGTTAGCGGTGGAAACACCCAGGTGAGATCATCCCTGTTTACTCTTCTTGTTTATGAACGCTACTTTCGTTTCAGGTCATATCCTATTCACATCACAGATATCGTGTGTTTGGGGAGACTATAGACATAGCCGTGGGTAATTGTCTTGATCGGTTTGCACGTGTCGTCAAACTTCCCAACGACCCCAGTCCAGGGTATAATATTGAACAAGCAGCCAAGACAGGTAGTTCTTCATTCACTGCTAATCAAGCAGAAAGCAGAGTACAGTGGAAGTTATTGCTTGGAATGAACTGAGAGAATGAGAAATACTATTTTGAGAAGTTTGCGTCGGTCAAACTTCCATTACTGTAACTCCTGATAAGCTAGACAGATCGAACATCATTGAAAACATTTCATCGCATCTAAGTATTGCGTATTTACAGCTCAAAATCCATGGATTTGGTGTGCGGCGGCTGCTCGCAAAATCGCTCTTGTCCCACGAGGTGCAAAAGCACAAAACGCGCGATGTCGTCAACGTGTTAACTGTCCAAGCAATAGCAGGATTTGGAGAATGTGGAAATCTCTTTTTATCCCTGATAGTTGAAAATTTAGTTGCTGCCTGCTCGAACATGTCCATTGACGAAAATTGCAGGAGCTTTTCTATTGTATGCTTTTCAGGAAAGAAACTTCTTGATTTGCCCTACACAGTGAAGGGAATGGACGTTGCATTCTCTGGTATATTATCCACTATTGAAAGTAAAGCACCACAGGTCTTAGCTTCAGGCGAATATACAGTCGGAGATCTGTGTTTCTCTCTGCAAGTGAGTTCATCAATGTCGAAATATCCTCCATTGTAGAACTCATCTGGATATTTGCCGATTGGTATTCACTATTTTTCTTTGAGCTTGACCCAAATGTAGATGCCACCATTGTAGGAGACGGTGTTCGCAATGCTTGTAGAAATAACGGAAAGGGCCATGGCGCATACAGGAAGCAGAGAGCTGCTCGTTGTAGGAGGAGTTGGATGCAACAAAAGACTGCAGGTAACATTCAAAGGCAATTGGTATGATGAATTGGATGTTTAAGATGAGGAAATCTCCCTAATGTGAAGGGAGGGTAGGCCCTAAGGAATCGAAACATGACTCTTTTGCGGGCAAGAGCACAAGTACAGTATATGGCAAAGCCTTACCCATGATGTTGGTTGGCGTAATGGCGGCTAATGAAATTTGTGTGTCCTAACATCTTCTCTATTGATCTCCAGCTCGTTCAAAGCGGAAATCATTCGACCAGAAAAGGTCCCATTTCGTCCACTTCGTCATTCATCACCTTGTTCTTTTCAACGACGACCAATTTATCGTAACATTCGCCTTCGACAAGTGTATCAGCTCTAGGGTTTCACAATCGCCACATGAAGGACTAGTTGTGCGAATTTACGTGATTCTGTTTTCAGGAAATGGCCGAATCTATGTGTGCTGAACGTGGTGCGCACCTTTTTGCTACGGACGAACGTTTTTGTATTGACAATGGGGCGATGATAGCGCAAGCAGGGTGCCTTATGCACGAGGCTGGGCTTAGATGCGAGGTACGGCTATGTTTTTTTTTCGCAAAAATTCCATCGAATAGTCGCGGTCTGCAGAAGAAGTAAGGATTAAATAAAATGCTTCAGCTAGAGAAATCCTCGATAACGCAACGGTATCGGACTGACGACGTCAACGTTTTTTGGAGAGAGAAGTGACATTCATGATAAATCCTCATTCGCAACACATCTGCGCTAAATCATTCGTTATGCTTCCTCGCCTATCCTCTTTCCTTCGCATTTAGTTTCTTGGTGCTTTAGCACAGCCGAATAACAAAATGACTGACCTTGAGCCTTTGTTTGGTGTTTTCGAAGACTTTTTTCTGCCTTACGTGTCCCCTTAGCACTCCCACTTTCTTTTTTTTTCGAATGCAAAGATCACACCAGTTTAATGGTGGAGTGTGCTTTCAAGGACCCAAAAAGCTATCTCACTGGATTTTCTCTCAAACTTTTCCGAGAGAGTTAAAATTATGTACGTGGATAACGTGAAGACTGGCACTAGAATTTCGTACCAGAAAAGGCCAGGACTCCGAACTCAGTTCCACGAAACCTTTGGATCTTACCAATTCTTTGCCGCATCTCTTTTCTGTTTCTTCACAACTCTCATTAAGCAATGATTTATCATTTTGTTGAAAAAAAGAAGACTTAAATAATGAGATTTTCTAGAATTTTTTTCTGAATGTTGTTACAATTTACTTGTTACATTTGTTGACACTTTGTATGGTTTCGATTTGTATTTCTTTTCTCGATAGCGAATAAACTTTTAAGCTGCATCATTGCATGCCTCTTCCCAGCCACAAATTGAAAGATGTTAATGTGATGGATTTCGCGTCAAAAATGGATCTCCGAACACTAGCATCGGTTTATCGGTGCTGAGGTTCTACAATCCAAAATTTTCGAAAAATCGAAAGCAGAATAGTCGGTTGGTTTCCGCTCGGTCACTTCATAGAAAGGAAATGGAAATTAAAGGATCCAACGGCCCAAACTAACGTGCTTCACGGATATGTCATTGCGCGTACTATTCTGTGCAGAGTGGAAGATACATTTATATTCTTTCGCGAGTGAACCTGTGGAAGGAACCAATCAACCGAGCAGCATGCTTGGTTCAGTTTGAGAGCAAAGCATTCACAAGGTGATTTCCATTACGCACCTTATCGAAAAAGCCATGTTGTTCAGTCGCCGAGG